TTATATTATTTTTTATATTTGTTAATTTTATTTTTTATATTTATAAATCTATTTCTGATCTTTAAAATCTCGTTTTTCACAAGAGGAAGTTTAAGGTCTTTGTGGATGTTAAAATTGATATATTATCAAGGAGCAGTTTTCTAGTTCAAATAGCATAGTTTCGATATGTAATTAACTTCAATATTAAGATTATGCAAGTTGATGACGTTAGCAACAGCCACTTCCACTTTTATTTTGGATGATTCAGCATGGGACGTGATAAGGGATACAATACAAATGCAATTGCTTAATGTGAAATTGTGCGATCAGCGGTGAAAGCTGTCATTAAATAAATAATTAGTTAAATTAGTCACTCGATTTGCATTTGCATACATATAAATGGAAAACAGTTGCTGACTTTAAAGCGAAAAAATACTTTAATCTATAAAAAAAACTATATACAGTTGCGCTCATAAAAATAGTATCACGAAACATGAACCAAATGAAAAGCTAAGCTTCCCGTTGGAAAATACAAATATTTTGCAACTTTTATTGAGAATTGAATGTATCTAAGAGAATTACGAAAAAATGTCATTACTTTCGATCAGAAGAATTTATGTCATATTTTGGTAATATTCACTTTGATTAAATTGTTTTAAAATATAAATGATTATTTTAATTAAAAAAAAAATTAATTTAAATAGCAAGTTCAATTAATTATTATACATTATATTGTTTATTTAAAAAAATAACTTTGTTACAAAGTTGCCATCTGCCCTATCATTCAATTATCTTCGTCTACATTGCATTATTGATTTGATTTTGCATTGACATTTTCTTGTTGTTTTCTCCTTATTTTATAAAAAACAGCCCACATGCGGCAGAACCTGCCCAGCAACCACCCACTGCAAATCAGGCCAGCTCAGCGTGGGGAGCTGTGCTGCGGCAAAAGAAGCTGGAGGCAAAGGCAAATGCACGAAGGCGGCGTCCTGATAAGCATAACAAAAACAACAACAACAACAACAACAGCCGAAAAAAACACAGAATGAACGAGTGTCGATTGACATTTCAACAATCAGACAGAGTGCATAAATGCCTGCATTTATAAATAAATTAAGACAAGAATGGGCAAGAAGCAAATGAAACAAAAAAAAAGTATAAATTGAAATGCAATGCGGTGCGCCTTCTCGCTTCCTCTTACAGTTGAATCGAACAACGTTTGATTACTTTCACCAAGCATGCAAAACGGAACACTCACACACACACGATAGAGCGCACACACACATAAACTGTGAGAGAATGAGAGCAAAAAAAACGAACAGCCAAAAAGTTTAAATTGGCTGTCATTTTTTTTTCTGTCTTTTTATTTCGTTTTGCACATAACTTATGCATAAATGTTGGCATTTTGTTTCGTTTTATGTGTGTGCGTGAGTGAGTGCGCTGCATTTAGAAAACAAAAACTGCTTAATCAGCACAGCAGCAAGCTTATAGAAAGGCAGAAATAATAAACAAGAGTAACATTGTTTACACTTTTGTTGGAGCGACGCTACATTGACACGTTGCCTCTTTGTGGCAAGCCAAGCCCCGTACAGCACACGAACACACACACTCTTCCACGCACGCAGAGAGCCAAACAGCACCGTTCGCTTTGAAGCAACGAAACTTACTGAGATACAAATGAGCACTTATAGAAACAGGCGCTTCCAAAAGCTCAACCACAGCTCTCAAAAGCTGCGCTGATTTCATACAGCAAGGGAGAGAGAGAGAGATTGGGAGAGGGAGAGAAAGGGAGGCAGTAGGCATGTGAACAATTGAGAGATTTGCGCATTGTGGGAGGTCGCCACCTCTTCATGTCTTTCACTCACTTGTGTTCCGACTTTTTGAAAATTGAATGCATTTGTCTTCTCCAATAATTCGAGGGTATTACGATAGCCAAGGCTGCGATAAGGTATTGGCGCATATTCCACTTTCATATAGTCGCGCTCTATGCATTGCAAGCTGACCGGCGGCTTGATAGAAGTTATCAATGAGCGCACCACAATGGTGACATCCTTCAAAATTTCTTCGTGCTCCGAAGACATTGTTGCTGCAAATAGATTAAAACAGAAATAATCTTATTATACACTCATATAATCAGAAATAGTGCATGTGTGAGTACATGCCAATCAGGTAATCAAATATGATAAAGCACTGTGAAATGCCAGCCAACCCCACCCACAACAACAAGTATGCGTGCCAAACGATATTCGCAAAAACTTATTTGGGCACAATGAACGCGACACAGATAATAAAGAAACAGCTGAGCTATGGAGAGAGGGAGAGAGTTTTCAAGAGCATAGAGCAAAAGCAACAGCAACAGTAAAATCAAAAGCAAATGCCAATGCAAAAGCAAAATAAATCAGCGCGTCGCGTCGGCGCAACGAGCCCGGGATTTTTTTAAAGACAAAATTGTGCCTGCTGCTCTCAATAATTTGATACAATTCACATTAAATTATTAAACAGAAAAAATTTGAGTTCGATTTATCTGTTGTGCTGAAATAACTAGAAACCTATGTGACAGACTGAAGCTTTGTGAAGCGTAAACATACATATCCAATTTCAATTTCGTTTATCTGCCCGCCATGTTTTTTTTTTGACTGTCGCAAAAGTGTTGCATTAGAAAAACGCATTGAATTTCAAAGCCGAAATATCAAAATAAAAGAACGGAATTCGGAATTGAGATACTTACAGAATGATTCGACTATTTAATATATACA